TCGAAACTAATTCAATGTATACTAAATGAAGTTGACAGCGTGCTAAGGTTAATTAATTATTTATTCAAAGTATTGATCACTATTTCACGTATTAACAATGAAGTTTATTGTGTTCATTGGTTTAGGCAGCTAAATAATTTAAATTGTATAAATGATTTGTGTATGATAACAATTATAATAAATTAAATCAGTCAAGTGCAAGTAGGACTCGCAAACGAAGAGTTCCTTACCATCGTACAAGATATAACATTACGTGCTAATCGATTTTATTTAATTTGCACGGCGGTCATTTCATAATTTGCCATGTTTGATTTATATTGTTATAGCGGCAAGATTTTCACACACTCTGTAAAAATGTCAACTCTCTACCTATTGATGTTCATGAGATAGCCCGCTGAACGCAGACGGACGGACAGTAGAGGCTTAATATTGGCACCCTTCGGGTACGGAACCCTAAAAATGAAAGCTGAAGTATATTTTACATTATGGCAAATAATATTCTTAGAAAACTTAACTAAACAAAATAACGTATTTGATTATATTCAATAGAACTTGGTACAAAAGCAATAAAAGTGGATATGTACAAATCACCACATACAGTAAATTTCGAGTAAATCCATGCGAGTGAGGTTCAAGTTAAGAGTGTTTTATTATATACTACATTTTTTATTTGGCCAGAAATCAGTGTGAAAGGAAATAATGGAAACTAAGAGAATATTATGTCAGCTTCATCCAAGTGGAAAATTTAATTAGATCCCATTTCTGCCACAGTAGATTTATATAAGCTGCTGTAAAGTGAGTAAGCGTCACAAACTGTAAAAAATAAACGCCTTGCTCATTTTTGAAGGTGAAATTTCATAAATTGGTGAAAGATTCTGAAGAGATATTGTAGGTAATCGTTCGTAGAGACGAATGGAAAAGTGTAGAATAATAATAATAATAATAATATGTTTTATTGGTCATTAAACAATGGATACAAAATATTTTTACAATACAAAAGAAACGGTAGCCGCTTTGCCTTGTAAGGCAAAACATTGTCCCCGTCTGTCTCTTAAAAATCAGAAACCATAACAGTGTATTAAACATATAAAATTATTAATTATAGTATTTGTATCAATCGTACGTTAAAGCTAAAAAAGCGGCAACAATGTTATTTTTAAAGTTATTTTTGAAAAAGCTCATTACTATTCCAGCCGAGCCTATGATCCACTACAATCATTACCATAAGCAAACACATCACGTGTACATGCTCAAATATTTGTTTAGGCTTAGTCGTTTCAACAGATGGGATAAAAAAACACTTAATATTTGTACTGTTTCATATTCCACGCATGTGAATATAAATACTGCAAGCGTGCATTTTTCAGTGCTTTGAGTTTAGTGTAATTAGGTTGTGAGAAAAACGATTTTTATTTTTCACTAGCAGCAAACAAAAACAAATCTAACCGTATATTATTTGTTATTCTGATGTATAATATAGTAAATATTATTGTAAAGTTTAAAATCCAATCACTGATTCACTGAGTATATAGTATGTGACTGTGACTATAAAGTAGGTCAAATTATCATCAGTAGAATGAGCGAACTGTAGGTAAACGCCAATATCTTTAAGAGTACCCTAAATCGAAGCTAGACTCGTAATATTATAATATTTATATTACACTTTATCTAGTGACGATTATTTTTTTTAAATTAAAATCTTTTACGAGTTAAACTAGAAGTAAAGTTCAATATCCAATTTGTTTTAATATTTCTTTATGATATTAATAAATTTATTAATGGAAGAAAAAAAAAGAAAATTATTGTAGATATAAAAATTATATATAGGTACTATAATATATAATTATTAATTTTCAATAAAATCAAACTCCTATAAAAGATCAAAGAACCATTTTTATTAGTTACTTTACCAAAACTTCTTAATGGAAACCTGTTGATAACAATCATCCATTTCGATATGAACGTGTAGATGTTATCATTTCATTTTCCGCGTGGTATTTTAGAAAGAGAAAATTATTCGTTTTACTTGAGAGAATAATCTTTCTTTGTTTTAGATTATTCAATTATATATTTTGTTATTTTAGATACCATATTGTAGCCCATTTTCACATATAAATACATACATAGCAGCTTTTTCTTTCCATTACTTCTGGCTTCTAAGGAATTTAAAATAGTAATCAATAAAGTTATCATAATCTCTCTGGTTTTTCATCTCGTGATATTGCTCAACTTGGTCTACTTGGTAACTTCATTTATCAAATCCTCTGTATTAAGGACTTAATGACTTTTAATCGCATTGCACTTAATAGGTAAAGTAGCTTTTTTGTCGTCATAAACTAAGATTTTTATCGCCTTTTTAAATAAAAATATAATAAGAGAATTAAAGATAATGTGGAATTTGGTTAGTCATTTCTTTTTTGTGATAGAAATATTTTAAATGTAACAAAAATAGGATAAGAAGTAAAAATTGAGAGATGCTAGGTAAAATGACACAATTTTGAGGATCCAATTTAAATATTCTCTATAGCCAGTCAAACCTTACCTTTACGGTGAAGGAAAACACTGTGAGGAAACCTGCATGTCTGAGAAAACATGTGACATGTGAAGTCCGCCAACCCACACTTGCCAGCGTGGTGGACTATAGTCTGATCCCCCTCGTATTAAAGGGAGGCCCGTGCCTAGCGGTGGGACGTTAAAAAGGGCTGAATATATACATACATTAATAATAAAAAATATTAACAGAATACTACAATATGACTGTACTAGTTAGAATATTTTATTTATTCAAATAGTTATGGTCTGAGACGAGCGAGGGCGTGTCGCTAATAACTTAATAAAATTAAGGAAAACGCTAGTAACTTACTAAAGTTAGAAAGGGTGGGAAATAAAATTCACGTGCGTCAGCCGTCGGTATAAGCTTGTATAAAATCGATATGGTTTCTAAGGATCCTCAAATATTCGAGGAGGGTAATGAAAATCTAAAATATACAAATGTACCAAACGTACATAAGTCCATATTTCTAATATATAGCCAAAATATAAAATGATCAGTAACTGCCAGTGGGCAGATCAATCACAGTTAAATATAATTGAATGTAGTGCAATTTAAGTTGACAGCTCTAATAACGAATCGGTTATCGATACTACGCCTATGTATTGAGGCTTGGAAGATAGAATAATTTGATACAGAGATTGTAGTTGAGATGTCTGTGAACATAATAATATTTAAAATGTAATAATGATTTACTGAAACAAAGTAAACTACCGCAGTAAATGCTCTTTATTTCTAAGCGGCTGGAGGATTTTACTGTTTCTACCGTATTCTTGCCCTGCCACTGTATAACTTAAAAATGAAATTGTAATTATTGTTAAATATTCATATGGTAAGCTTTTAAAGGTTTTGATTAAAAAAATATACAAAAATATAATAATTGAATGTATATATATATATATATATATATATATATAGATAACCCTCAAACACATAACCCTCCTTTGGTCTTCCCAGCAGTCGGTTAAAAATATGCTTTTCTTTGTTTAATAACAACTGTGGTTCGCAGTTTCACTTTTAAGCACATTTCAGATACAAATTTATTTATTTCATTCTGCGCGCTGTCAAAATGGTGGAATTTATAAATTTGCTTTGAAAATAACCAAATCCAATAAAAACTGTATTCTTTACCCTATACACCTGACATTAGATGACAAATGCTCCCCGTGTCCTGTCAGTTGAAGAGAAAATAGGTCGTGATAGACAAACTGAAAGGATGACATGCACAGTACCTATTGTTCTATGAAAAGTCAATTTTATATTGTTATTATTTTAAACAATATAAAATTTGGTTTTTAATAGTATGCTTATAATAATTAATTTTAAAATTTCCATTTTAACTGAATGAAATTGGAAAACAAAATTTCAGCTCCGATTGTTATTGATGAATTATTTAAAGAACAAAATCTATTTTACAATTGTTTTACTCTTTTATCTTTGGGTTACGTTTTGAAATTTACTGTATTAACGTTATTGTTTTGTAAGAGTTCATTTTTAAAATAATTTTAATAAAATATAATATTATAAAATGCGCAGCAAGTAGGTACGTGCGCTGCATTAAGCTCTTTACTTAATTAAATGTATAAAATGTATGTAAAGCATTTTAACTGGTATGGCTAGAGTTTTTAGGACTACCCAAGCCCTTCAAAATGACTTAACATGCCTTTGGAAACTGAGTCTCTCCTGCCGGGAACTAATAATTTAATAATTAATAATTAGAAAATCATTCAATATGTATGTTATACCTATATATTTGTACATTAATGTTTTTGGAATTAAAATAGCGACAACTTTTGATGACTTTCTAAATAAAACCTAACTAAATAAATATTCGTGAGTTATTTTTTACTTATAAAATATGCTTTTGATACCCTTTTTTTTTAAAGACAATATCCGGACCAGACATTAATATAACTTTATCATTTTTGCTCTATTTAATAATATTGCTAAAATGTTCAATAGTTTCAATGTGTTTTTATTCTAACCAGCTTTTGTATTTTTTCTCAGAAATGAGATTTTATTCACAGTAAAAAGTATTCTATATGTTAACCCAAATAATCTGCTATCACCATATCAAATTTCATCAAAATCTGTCCAGTGGTTTTCCCGTGATACGGTTACAGACAGACAGAAAGACAAAAGTTTTAAAAATTATAGAGTCGGCCTCTCGATAATAATAATGACTATTACAATAAGATTTTTCAAAAAGTATTTAATGTACAGATTCGGCTTAGTTATAATTTTATTACACGTAAAGATAATATATAAACAAATATATTAGATATATTGACTAAAAAAATAATCAAAGCTACCCAAGTAATCAAAAATAATGTTATTAGTTTAGTTTACTTTGATACATCAGATTTATATACATAGATACATAGTATATGTGTGTACGTTATGTAGTAGATTAGAGAAAAATAATGACAATTGTAACTATATTACTTACCACGCTATGCCCACTGCGGCTTCGAAGACTGAGCCTCATCTTCCAGTCCCGCTTAGAGGCACCGCCCTCGGAGCTGAAGGACCGCTTCATCGGCAGCGACATCTTGCTGCGTTTCACTAACACTTTACAATTCTAACGAAAAACATTATGCGTCTCTATCGCAAAATATTATCACTTTAAACTGTCACTATATGTCAATGTATGTAAACCATCTTGCTTTAGTTATCACATCGTTAAAAACAGCAAAAACATATTTTTATATATTTTACATATTAAATAAATAAAATTTAACCTTAATAAGAACAAATAGGAAAACTAGTTACACCATTTTTTCAAGTCATTAGGTAAAGAAACCGAAGACCGAACGTAAACATTTTGATATTAATTTAAAGAACAGTTTAACATTATTTAGAAAAACAAAAATTTTCAATAAACACAAACACAGGATATCTGAAACAAAGAAAATAAAATTAGTACATTCTTACTCAGTGTATTTTTGTTTAAAAACCACATGTCAAATGCAGACAACATTTTACAAAACACATGGAATTTTCTTAGGGAATAAAAAATACATTAGGGAAAGATTTTCCAATAGAAGTCGAATATTTTTCGTACCAAATCATGCTTTCACTTCGTTTTATGTTACATATTTTAAGGTGAAAATATTTAAAGATTCAGAGAAATTCCAAGTGTATTGTAGTGTAGTGTTTTACACTTGAAAATTTTCATATCAAAATCAATTACAAAAATTACAAGTGTATTATCTACTTTATTTGTTTATATTATAGAAGAAAATAATAATATCATAAGGTCAATAAAAATCGATCGAACTTATAATTAATAAACATGGTATAGTTCAGAATTTTTCAAAAACGATATATTCCGTCTTAAACAAATAACCTTAGAATCCGTCTTAATAGAGATTAAAGATGGGTTAAGTCGTTTCGGACTAATTGCATAAAAAACATACGAGCGAAATATGACATTAGTTAAGATCTAAGTTATTTTTCTATAGATCTTAAGATATATGTGTATATATTATTATAGATCGTAATTTAACGTGTAATTGCAGCTACTAAACATGTTCGATGATAACAATAATGGCGACCAAATACGTTTGTCAAATTATTAACTTTACAACAAACACGTCCGTATGTCTTATATAAAATATTTCAATATACTCGTATGTTTACTTACAATGTACAAATTTGACCTTGTTACAATTTTGTGATAAGTATAAATAGATGATACAATATTGGTAAATCCAGTTTTAGCTTTTAATCTTCTCGATCTTACAGTAAATTTAAACACGAAAGTGAAGGCTTGTAGAAATACGGTGTCCCTAAATCGTAATTATTCACTCATCCGTATCTTGTGATATATAAACCTTTGAAAGGAAGGTGACGTATGTATATACTCGTACCTTTATATAAATATATATAAATATTATACATATACATATGTTAATATATATATATATATATATATATTTCTCTACAGAGTAAATGAGAGGCGCGCCAAAGGTTTACGCCTTCGCAATTTCGTCAAAAAAGACACAGGATATCTTTTATTTTAAAAAGTTATTGATTTATAGAAGAATTCGGATAAATGAAAAAAAGCCTCTCGATTGTGAAAGATGAATTATAAATTATAAAATTTTCAATAAATGCAGAGTTATAATTTGCTTTTGTATACGTAAACGTGAATTATGTTCATAAGAAGCAGGTAAATTAAATTTAAATTATGTTTATTAGAAAATCGTTCAGTAAACATAGCTGCTTAGCATAATTGAGAATAATGAGCTTAATAACCATACAATAAGAAAGTAAATCTTTGTGCTACGCTAGTTTATATCGTGGTTATCGTATACGGTTGCAGATCATAGAGTTTGATTTTGAGTGCCCAATAAAAACAAAAATGGATTTTTCGATCGAAAACTTTACTCTAGAAGAGTCTACACATGAAATTTATTATGTAGGTAGCGTTATAATCCCGTGATACATAATTGCTTCTAAAGTTTTATTTACTTTAATGATTTTAGCAGATTAGTAGAGAGAGACTAATATAAATACCATTTAAGAGTCCAAGAAATATATTTTCTTCATTTACTTAAGCTTGAGTAAACAAAGAAAATATATTTCTATTTTTACAGAATTTAGTATAAAATGCATTGAATAACTTTGATAATTGAATAACTTATAAATAAGTACCTACAATACTACAATAATGTTTCGACATAATTGGAAAGATAGAGCTTTGCAAGTTTCGCAGGTATTATTAAATTCTTTTTATTTTCAACAAGCTATGATTTAGATTTGATATATTAATTAGTATTTTTGAAAAATATTAATTACTAAACAAAAAATTAAACAGTTTCACGATTAAGTTAAATTAATTTTTCATATGCAAAAGACCTAAGCAATGAATTAGGCATTGTTACTTTGTATTTTAAGTTATACTTCTTTTAGAACGTTTGGAAAAATATATGAGAGTAAAATTTTTACCAACAGCCTAAATGCGACATGATGAAGTTAGCTGATAACTATGTATTTGTTGCCATGGTAACCGTGGTTTGTCTGACAAATGATACATATTATAATATACAAATATAGAATATTATATTCTTTTCTTAATTGATATTCTATGAATATGTTATTGTAATATGCATAATATGCCTTATTTAATTATTTTATTAATTTATCATTCCTTTTACAAACAGAGAATTGTGACATACGGGTTGAAATCTTTAGCTGTTTTTGCTCTGTTACGCCAAAGAAGTATTACTTCTCACGTGCGTACATAAGTACACACACACGTTCTTCTTTTTTATTAAGAAACGTCCTACTAAAGCTTTTTCATTAATCTTTTTAGTAGCAGCAATCTTTACTTGAAAAAATCACCTTGTGCACTTTTATTTGGAGTAAATTTTCTCTTAATTTGGATGGAAGCAGCGGCATACCAGTTGTAACGCGTTTACTTAGAAAAACAAGTGAAGTGGGTTGAAGTTCTGGATCTCGTCCGACTTTTCATGTCTTCATGTGTGAATAATTTTGTGAACCTGTATGTTTGAAAGAACTCTGCAAGTTTTCGAAAGACATGTAAGGCCCGCCCATCGGCACGTGGTCAATGGACTTGGTAGACTATGGCCCGACATCCTTTGTATTGAAGGGAGGCCCGTGTCTATATATATTTATATAATTATATATATATATATATATATATATATATATAATATATAGTAAAACGTTATAAAACGTTGAAAATAATATATTGGATACTGCTTTTTCATGAATATTATTAAAATTTAGATAATTACGTCCTCTATACTTTTGAAATGATATGTTATACAACATATCATTACAAACAGTCCACCACGGTGGCCTAGTGCGGGATGGCGGACTTCACATGTGTTTTAAAAACTTGCTAGGTTCTCTCAGACAGGCAGGTTTATTCGCGATGTTTTTCCTTCACCGTTAAGACAAGTGGGAATCATGTTGGAATTGATTCGCACATGATAATATCTGAGGTGCGAGACCCGGGATTTGAACCTGCTTCACTCGGTTTACTGAGCGAGCGCGCTACCACTAGGCTACCATTGTCTTACAAAAAGTTTAAATGAATGCATTCGGTATGTTATCATTAATTATTAACGGATTGGGCGAAGTATTTAGTTCAGCAATTAAGCTTTACCATGAATGGAATCCAAAGCAATATGATTGAGACATTCTAAAATACTACTCTAACCGACAAAGGCTATTTTTTGGAAATATTATATGTGTATATAATTATATTATAAAATTTTTAACTTATGCAACCTTCTTCGCTCTACAGGCATGATTATCTATAATGATCACTACTACGAGTATCATAAATGTGCTTAAGTGCTACGCAAAACCACAAAGATCCTAACTGTTATCCTGGGATATAATTCATTAGTAAGTACTATTATCATTATCGTTTATGACACCTCTGGTGAAGTTATGACCATAAAATGACATATCATAGTTATAGTGCAGCTTTTAAACTAAATAAGTCAAAATGTTTGTATTGTAATCTATACATATAATAAAATTCTGTGTGGAATTTGTACATTACATATGTTATGGAAAATCTTATTGAAATAGTTATTATTATCGATACAGAGGCTGAATCTATAGTTTTTAGAATTTTTGTCTGTCCATCTGTCTGTCTATCTGTCTGGGAACGCATCATTAGATAGCCACTAGATAGACTTTGATGAAATGTGGTATCATGATAGATGGTTATCCGGGTCAACATAATATAGTATCCCTTATACTCCGAGAAAATATCTTATCTATGAGAAATCTATACTAACCTTTAAAAATTATCGGGGTTAGTACGTAGTTAACAATAATCTACACGATATTTTTCATTGCTTTACTTAATAAGTGATATGTAATGTAAAAAAAATATAACCAATTCTTTACTTGAAAAGAGAAAATCGTCAAGAATTTAATTTGTTTAATTTACTCCGCTTGCATACAAACGTGGATACGTTACGTCACGTTATTATAGGTACGCAATACAGTATAAATAATAAAAGCTTTTAATGTTGATAATAGTTAATTGTTAGCTATTTGACACAATGTGGCATATAATATGACACAAAACTATGGCTAAATACTTCGATCAACAATACTATTAGATATCGGGTCAGCGTAAGAAATCCGTCTCGGTAAATATAAGCTCACTTGCAAACTGAGCGTATATTTCGATTAGTTCTATTGAAACACTGCAAGCGTAAACACGTTCACAATGCCGCAATATGTATTTAAAAGTTACGAAAATAATGCACGAAGAAGAAATTTTTCTGACGGAGTGTCTTATTTTCGGTAAATACCTACAATTACATGTAGATTAAGTCAATATTTTAAGATTTAACCTACGAAATAATATAAAAATGAAATTTTGAACAATTTTAAATCCGCTAAGAAAGTTGGCCCAGGTCGGCCAATACAGGCGCAAATTCTAAGAAGTAAACAGAAACAAAACAACGATTTAGCTCACAAAGCAACAACGGGAAAAAGTGCTTTGAGTTTTATGATATAAGGTTGATTTTACAATAAAGATTATAAAACTTA